CTTCTAAGTATTCCTGTAAACAAGGCTGGTGTTTCATAATATAGTTTGCATCAGCATCTTTCTACTTGTTACTGCAGGTCTAAGAAGGTTCAGACATGAGTGGATCTGTTTAGTCCACATCAAAGTGAAACAAAGCAAACCAATGAGTGCAGTGATAATTCCACATTGCTCCGACTGAAACTACTGTTTTTCCTCGAGTGCACATTCAGCCTTTGCTGAGTTTATTGGCACACAGGGCCTAATTAACTTGCAGCGGAGTGTTTACTGTCAGACAACTGGCTTCATTTTTCTTTTGATGAATGATTGATGCTCCGCAGGGGTGAAGCAGCAAACGTGTGCCGGCATAGAAAAGTTCTAACGCTCCCTCAGCTAACAGGGAAAATGATAAAATAAACATCATGAAACAAACATCTCTGAGCAGGATGGGATGAGGTGTATTAGACACAGGTGTCAGTGAGAACGCCTGCAGGGAGAAACATTTTAATCTTCTCTCAGTGATTAGATAACATAGCTGAAAAAACACTTTGTGTCCTTTCAGCTGTCCACTGGCATTCTGATATATTCATCTGACCGAGAAGCATTTGTGGATTTGAGGGTTCGACGAAAAGTAATGATCTTGAGATCTAAGACATCACACATGGTCACAACACAAATCCAGGCAATTGTAAGATGATTAAAAATAACAGAAAGCAGATTTCTGTGTTATGTGAGTAAAATCAGTTCACTGCATTTTCATCCACAAATTGATTTCAATTATTGAGTAGGGAAGTAAGTAAGTATGTAAAGTTTATTTGTATAGCACTTTCCACAAACAAGAGTCACAACTTTCCTTACAAGGCAAAAGAAGTTAAAAGGAGTTAAACGATGAAATTTAAAAACAGAGAACAAATACACCGTAAAAAGGAGAAAGTCCAGTGAAGTGCAAAGAGAGACAGATGTGGTAAATCGCCTGAATACCCTATAATTTGAGATTTTGACCAGTTTAAAATACTTCAGGCCTCCAGACATATTCTGCAAATATGGAACATCAGTCTAAATATAACAAACTCTCATATTCTCACTTACATGTTTAACCAATTACAGGAGCAACAAGTTTAGTGTCACATGCCAACAAGAGTTGGAGCCACTGATCAAAACAGATGACTTCCCCTTTTGATCATTGTGTGTTTGACAGCTTCTGCTTCACTGTTTAGTAATGTCAATACAAAGTGTTCTAGACAATCTGGATGTGCAAGTCTAACCATCACAGCCAGTCAATGCAAATACAAATGCACTGACTAGACACAATTAGCTCATCATCATACATGAACATTCACTATCTTTGCACTAAAGTTGCTCAGAGGCACAATAAAAGCTCATGAGTCCTCGCTAATGTATCAGTGTCTTCTTTATTTTCGTCGTCATGACAGCAGAGGTTAATGTTTCTCTTATCTTGCACAGTGGGCGGCACAATGTAACCTGAGCCTCATAGAGGCGTCTCCGGCCCAATCTCACCCTGTAGTCACTTACTGGCAGATGGAGGAAGTGACTCATCTCAATACGTCAACATGAACAGTGATGTGGGTTTCAGATTCACACAATGCCAAGAACGTCTTGTGAAACAGTTGCACCCCTCCCCTTCAACTCTACTGTAAATAGAAGCCTGAGAAAAAGTGCAGACTGAACCAAGTGAACACAGAGCGTGAAAACTCTATAAACTGATTGACATGTCCTCCTACTGGTGGTGCTAAGGAAAGGTCAGGTGATCACTATAAACATCAGGATTCTCTCTGGGCCCATAAATATTCACTGAACATTTTATGGAAAGTTTGCCATTAGTTTTTTTAAAGGTCAGGTCATCACCAAAATAATTATCCTCTGGGGATTATTAATATCGGTCAAACTCATGCAAATGTGATGAGCACTGGTGAAGACATCTTGCTCTTTGCACCGAAGTAGTTTAATCATCTTTACATATACACAGTAAATTCAAAATACTACCTCCTAGCTAATTCATATACCATTTGGGCTTTGACTGAAAGATATGAGTCCTATAATAAACTCAATCCTCCTCTTGTTGCATCCATGAGGAAAAATACTAAATCCCTTCTGGCTCCTGGGTCAATACATTTTACTTACAATTAAATCAGTTCTGTGCTGTTTTGTTGGGGGTGTCTTTCCACCTGGAAAAGAAAGAGAAAACAATGGATCATTTTTATAAGAAGTTTTATTGGGGAAAATCCCAGCAAACAATCACCATTTTGCACATTTTTGTATCAGATAGATCAGCCCCACACTCACATGAGGGTTTGCTGGAAAAAAAGGCACACAACAATACATAAGTTAAAGTGAAAGCCCTGCAGAACAAACCAAACAAAAAACCCAAGAAAGGGCAGGAGGAAAGAAAACTGATGAAAGTAAAAAGTTATACCAAATCAAATGTATGTAGTAGTGCATCACATTTATACTATATTATAATTTTTACTCACTAAATTTGATTGTAAACAATTACACCCAAAACAAATTAGATATTAGATTAGCGTCTAAGTTTTGACTTAACATTATATTGACATAATATTGGTTTAATGGATCGCATTTGTATTTTTAAATTGGCTCCTACTGTTTCCAAATGTAAGAAATGTGATAGGACAGCGTGTCTGACATGAGCACACTTCTACTGGATAGTCTGGTCATGTAGTACTCATCACCCAAGAGCTGAAGTGGGAGCTGAACATCGGCTCCGTCACCAAAAACAGCTGAAGAAATTCAACCTGCCAAAGCAGATGATGGTGAACTTCTACACCGCCCTCATTTGAGTCCATCCTCATCTGATCCATCAACCTGTGGTACGCTGCTGCTACAGCCAAGATACAGGCCAGCCTGCAGCACATCAATGGCTCTGCAGAGAATGTTACCGGCTGCCACCTGCCCTCTCTCCAGGGCCTGTACGTCTCCAACACTCTGAGGCCTGCAGGTCAGATTGTGGCCGACCCCTCCCACCCTAGACATGCACAGCTGAAGATATGTCACCTACATCCGCTAACATCAACTGGTGGGAGGCATTCATTTTTATTTTATTTTATCAGTCAATCATCAAATCATGTCAGCTCCCCAGTAGCCCCCCCAACTTGTTTTCTCTCTGAGACAGTGGCTCCGGCCCTGCCTGTTGTAGAAGCCGCTGTGCAGAGATAACATCAGAGATAAAGTCAGAGGAGAGGCTCAGGGTCGTGTTCGGTGATCACCTCATCTGTCTGAATTGCGACATTTTCGGTGCTTATCAATTTTTGTGGCAACGCCGGTCGTGACGTCAGTAGGGAGGGATGATGACGTATGACACGGCCGCCATACAAAACGCAGCTTCACGTGACGTCGCCGGCCAGTGTCTGTTCTCTCCGGAGCCGCTGCCACATCGAAGCCGTCGTGTCTCTGCTGCTCTGAAACAAAAAGCGTTCAGGGTTAAACACGACGTTTTCTCCGCGCTCTCTTTCCCACTCCATCTTTACTTCTTTTTCTCTCTTGGGTTGCCAAGACAACAACTAAGCTGACGTCCCTTTTGTAAAGGTGAGTAGCTGTTTCCCAGGTTTTTTTGTTTTTTTTTTCCTCCCCTGTGCCCGGCTAACGTTAGCTAACCGGGCACAGCTAGCCAGCATTTTCGTTTTTAGGTCAACTGTCATGTACCAATCGACACACCACACGCCTGAGTTTTTGTTGTATCGTCTGTTGGTTTTGTTGGTGTGGAGAAGTTGGGCCGTGATTTGTTTCCTGTTCGTGGAAACCTTGTGCGGTTTCCTAGAATTGTTTACAGCCCGTTAGCATTAGCTTACCGGTGGCCTACTTAAAAGCCTCATCCAGACGTCGCAGCGAGGACTTCCGGTGTTTGAACAAAGACCTCATAAAATCAGCTGTTTGTTTGCCTCGATATATACCAGACCCCTTATCGATCTGAATCCACATCGATTCGTGTCGATTATAGCACTAAAAACATAATTTAATATTTTTTTCAAAAACTGGATTTTGAAGATTTTATTTAAGATTTTGAATGTAAAATTGCCGTTATCGTCGAGTGAGATGGAAACACAAGATTCTGAGTTAATAGACGTTTGTGAAAAGATAATTAACTAAAATCGCACATCGGATTATAACGTCCCCGTCGTGGGATCTGGATAAATCCAGCGCACATGTAATCCAGGTCCTGTGTCGAAATCTGCTTCTCCCCCGGGTTGAGTTTCCTGAGTTTCCCTTCCTGCGCTGCCCTCAATCACCGGGTGAGATAGTTAGTGTTAGGTAATCCAGGTCATCGTCAGGTTATGTGACGAGTGGTTGTGGTTTATTGTTGAAAACACGTCGACACCGATCGTCCACCGCGGTGTGCTAAGCTAACCCTGTTTCACTTCCACGGACACGTGTTGGCGCTCATGTGCTCATCGATTTCACCAAGATCGATCAAACAATTATTAAAGAGGAAGCCATCAGAAAACACGTACGTCATTATTATCGCATGTTTGTAATGGTGACTCTGACATCAGGGTACCGACGGGCCTACAAGCCGGGAAAAGCCTTGGTCTCTAAATGCCCGACTAAAGATGATTTCCCCTCTTTAATTAATTTAAATTCAAATTTTGCCTTAGTAAATGTTTCTTGTTGCACATTCTGTTGCTTTTTAACCTGTTCGAGCCATCTGATATATTATAAAATTAATGAGGACTTTAAATGATTATTTTTAAAAGGTTCTACCAATCTTTCCATGCACTTGTTATTGTAAGTACCTGAGAGGAATTGGCTGGATTTCAATGACATCTTTCACACTTTGGTTATATGAGTGACACAGATATTAGGTAACATGTCTGTGTGGAGAGGTCTTTAGTACGGTTTAACCACCTTAAGTTAATTTATTTAATGACATTTGTGTCTTGGACTTCATTTGTTAAACCTTGTAATGACTCTGCTAATGTTTCTTTTCATTTTACAGCCATTTGAAGTCAGTTAATTTGATATTGTCTATCTGTCTCTGTTTTCAGATCCCCTTTTCCCACCCCACATCTAGAAATTTATTCTTTTCAGATATTCTTTGTCAAGCCGCCAAAGTGGAGAGTGTCGTTGCAACAGGGGGTCCTTCTCGTTTCAGGTATTAAACATAATTAGACTTGGTGAACTTATATTTACAGACACTCCTCTCAAACAGCTCACATAAAAACTTGGGCTCACATTTTCATATGAGTTAAAACAGTTTTCCTTTCTTTTTCTTTTTATTGATTTATTTTTTTGGTATCGCAGTGTAGGGGGAGAAGGTGGGGGTGCACCTGAGCACTATCCCAAGACTGTCGGCAACAGGTGATTTTCCAAATTTTCCTTTCACTTGGAACACTTGGTCACTAATCTCTGTTAGATATTAGATCCTTACGCTTCTTCACTGGCCTTAAATTTCAGTGGGTGACTCTTTACTGTCTGGATACTGATATATGACTCTACACCCTGGCAGAACGGTGGTCACATGTTATTAGGGTGAAACTTCTCATTTGAAAGATTAACAATCTACAATTTATATTTTTTTAAATTCTTAACCTGCTTCCACTTTGACAGTGGCTCAGCTGGCTTCTGTGTAGCATTGACATAATTGGAACAATTAACAACTATTTTTATAATTGGTTCATGGTTAGTAATTCTTAATCAAAATGGTCAGCTACCTCTTTATCACTTGTAATACTAAAATGAACATGTTCTAACTTTTGGTCAGGAAAAAAAGAAGATATCTGAAGAAATAGAATTGATACCTGCAAATTCAGTTCACTTTATGTGAAGGATTGTCAAACAGAAGAGCAACTGATGTTGTCAGATGCTGGAAATGTGATTACAGTCATGTCACTAACAAAACTAACTCAAATGTTGTTTGGCAAACTGTGAGGTATTAATGACATTGCAGTGTAGCTCATCCGCCAAAACTCAGGGCTAGGTATTTGATATGTTTGCTTTTCCTGATAAATATGTTCCGGTTGTAACGTTGGCTTTGTTTTGTGTTCATTGCAGCGAGTTCCTGGGGAAAACCCCAGGTTCTAGCGTTCAGAGATGGGTCCCTTCTCGAAGCACTAGACGAGAGGCAAACTCCTCCAAAGACAAAGGGCTAAATGATGTAATCTTCAGGAAAGTGAGAGGGTAAGTTTTCATTTAAATCCAATTTCAAATTTGATACAAACATTGTGCACAATATAGTTTTGGGGGGTCAATTTAAGCATGCCATTTTTAACCATTCACCATTTCCCTCTGCACCCTGTAGCATATTGAATAAGCTGACTCCTGAGAAGTTTGACAAACTATGCCTGGAGCTCCTCAATGTGGGTGTAGATACAAAGTTTGTCTTAAAAGGAATCATCTTGTTGGTGAGTATTTTCTTACAACGTGCTCATCTATTAATCCTTTAACCTTTAAAATGAACCCTCAATATGTCATTGTCTCTGCTTTCAGATTGTTGACAAAGCCCTTGAAGAGCCCAAGTATAGCCAGTTATATGCTCAGCTATGTCTACGGTTGGCCGAGGATGCACCAAACTTTGAAGATCCATCAACAGAAAATCAAGCAACACAAAAGCAAAATACTGTATGTGGTTTTTTTTTTAAATGGAGTTTATTGGTATGGCGTGGAGTCATGATGTGTAAATTTTAACGACCTTTGTTTTACAGACCTTCCGAAGGCTTCTGATCTCCAAGCTTCAAGATGAGTTTGAGAACCGTGCCAGAAATGTTGAAAGTAAGTCGATTGAATTTGATAAATGATGTCAAGTTAAAAACTTGATCATGTCTTTCATGGATTGTTCCTCTTTGTTCCCCTAGTCTTTGAAAAACACGATGGCCCACTCACTTCTGAGGAGGAGGAACAGCGTGCTATTGCAAAGATCAAGATGTTGGGCAACATCAAATTCATCGGTGAACTTGGCAAACTCAACCTTATCCATGAATCGATTCTACACAAGTGCATCAAAACAGTAAGTTTTGTTGAATAACATCATTATGCATATCATAAACCTTATTGGTATTAAGGTGGTGCGGAACAAATGAAAGAAGATCTTATGAAATGTTCATTTCTCTTTAAGCTTTTGGAGAAGAAGAAGAGAGTCCAGCTTAAGGATATGGGTGAAGATTTGGAATGCCTCTGTCAGATAATGAAAACTGTGGGACCGAAACTTGATCATGACAAGGCTAGGGTGAGCATGTGAAAAAAAACAAACAACTGACAAACAGTCCCTTCTTAAAATTCCTTTGATCCACTTAATAACCCAAAAAAATCTCCTTCCAGTCTTTGATAGATCAGTACTTTAGCCGCATGCGCTCCTTAATGAACAACAAGGAACTTCCAGCCAGGATCCGTTTCCTGCTGCAGAACATGGTGGAACTGCGAGCCAACAACTGGGTCCCACGCAAGGCCTACGTTGACAACGGACCAAAGACGATCAACCAAGTTCGTCAGGAAGCAGTTAAGGTTGGTCTACCAGGTCCATTTTAGCATAATAGGATTTAGGATCAACAGTATCACTGAAATTGTCTAGTTTTCTATAGTCTGCATGTAGTCTTAGTTTCTGATTCTTTTGCAGGATTTGGGTGTTTTCATTCCACCTTCAAATGATGGAATGAGGAATGACTATTTCATGGACAACTCTTCCTTCCTGCCAAGGATGAAGTTTGACAGAGAAACTCTTGGTGGACTGGCTGATATGTTTGGACAAATGCCCGGTATGTCAGTTTATTCCACCTTGAACCACCAAGTTCAAGCATTTTCCTTGCAAATCAGTGAAGAGTTGGTTCTAACTCATTTTTCTTCAAATTATTTTTGGTAGGAATCACCATTGGGACAGGTCCAGGAGTCATTCAGGACCACTACTCTCCTACCATGGGACGTCACCGCACAAACCCACTTTACAATGGCCACATCGGAAACGGCAATGGTTCACATCAGCCTCAGTTTGAAGCAGGAAACAAACCTTTCATAAAACCAAACCAGGTACATACCACATAGTCAATGTTAGGTTTTTGTTACACAGTGAATCTACACATTGCTAAGACTCATTTTGTGTAATCTCACAGGGGCAGGGTTCACCAGTTTTCAACCACAAGCAGAATCACTCAGGGCAGATGCAGTCTAAGGATATGTCTTCACGATTTGGCAAGAAAGGAAAAGTCAATGCTGATGAGGTACAAGATTTTCTCTTCTAGCAAAGATTCTTTTTCAATCAAGTTTTGGCTTTTTTTTCACGTTCGTGAACAAGATGTGCAGCAATACTCTAACTGTATGTCATTGTGATAAACCTGTTGTCTTCCTCCTTCCAGATCAGTCTGAGGCCAGCACAGTCTTTCATCTTGAGTAAAAAACAAGCGCCAAAGCTGCTGCCACACATGAGCATGATGCCCCAAAGCGCCCAAGGTTCACCGCTCGGACAGGTAACATTCTTACTCTTTAAACAAATGTTTTCAACTGATAAGGCACATGTAGGCTCTGGGAAACATGCACTCATTTGGCTTTCCTTGTGTAGTCTCCACAGCTTGGCTTGAAGACCAATCCACTTCCGATTCAAGAAAAACCTGTAAAGTCCATCAAAAAAGCTCCTCCAACGAAGGAAGAGTTGCACAAAATGACGGTAAGTTCCTCAGCTCACACTTCACTTGCTTCCTGGACAATGAACTGAGCACATCAGAAGTTTCCTATCGCATTAAACCTTATGGTTCCTTTTCATTTCAGGAGACACTGATGACAGACTACCTGAACAACAAGAACGTCGATGAGGCAGTGAATGCTGTGAGGGAGATGAAAGCTCCCAAGTATTTTTTGTCCGAGATGCTGAATAAAATTGTGGTTCATTCCCTTGATCGTTCAGATGAGGATAAAGAACAAGCAAGCGCTCTGATTCAGGCCCTCTGCACAGAGGGCCTTGTAGCTGGTGAAAACCTGATGCAGGTCAGCATTGGTACCTTTTTAAAACTGACCAATATACACTATTCACATTGTCACTGTCTGGATTATTGTGAACTAATGTTTTTTTTGAACAGGCTGTTCTGAGTGTGCTGGACCAGTGCCCCAAGATCGAGGAGGAAGTCCCACTGGTGAAGTCGTACCTGGCACAGTTTGCGGCACATGCCATCGTCGCTGATTTGGTCAGCCTTGCAGATTTGGCCCATCAGCTGGAGAACGGTGCACATTTCCCACTTTTCCTGCTCTGTCTGCAGCAGATGGTCAAACTTAAGGACCGTGAATGGCTGACCGACCTGTTCCAGCAGAGCAAAGTCAACATGCAGAAGATGCTACCTGGTGCGTCCAACTATCAGTTAGACTCTTTGTTTTGCATTGAGAAATTTAGTTTTAATGACAGTTATTGATGTAATTTTTTTATGCTCCTGTAGAATGTGACCAAAACAAGGACCGAATGCTGGAGATTCTGGAGGGGAAAGGTCTCAGCTTTTTGTTCCCTCTGATGAAACTGGAAAAAGAGCTGCTGAAACAGATTCAAGTAGATCCCTCTGCACAGTCCATCTACAAGTGGATCAAGGACAACATTTCTGCTAAACTCCACACAGACAAAGGCTTTGTCAACATTCTCATGACCAGGTACAGCAGCGTTGAATTCAGTGTTGTGGGCTAATCTAAACACCAAACAGTACATTTAGCTCCTGGAGTGTTACACAGTATATGAACTGTCCTCTTGTCTTCCAGCTTCTTGCAGTACATTGCTTATGAGATCAACCCTGACGACGATGAAGAGCAGCTTGCAGCACCAAGCAAAGAACAGCAGGATGAGGAGAAGCAGCTGCTGCTGTCTTTTAAGCAGGTGATGCAAAAGTTCCTGCACGATCACATCGAGCTCCAAGTCGGTGCTCTGTACGCCCTGCAGGTCCACTGCAATGCCAAGGGGTTCCCCAAAGGTAAGTTCACTTGTAGTTCACATAGCAGCTAAAGTAGTTTTTGGGTTTTTTTAATGAGCAGAGAAGTTCTGCTACCATTGGTATAGAAGCTTTCACGAGCCCAATGATTCTGTTTTTAGGCATGTTGCTGCGCTACTTTGTGAACTTTTATGACATGGAAATAATTGAAGAGGAAGCCTTCCTTTCATGGAAAGAAGACGTCACCCAAGAGTATCCAGGGAAGGGGAAAGCGTTATTTCAGGTACATTGCTAATAACTGTTTATCAAATAGTTCCCAGCAATAAACTGCAAGTCTACACAATAGCTAACTAGTGTTCTGGCTATGAGAAATGTTTTTTTTTAATTTGTGTTTGTAACTGTACTAGAAAGCTTCTCAAATAGAAACCATCTGTGTGTTGGTCTTTCATATAAATAACTTGGCCTAATGGAGATATTGTTTTGACGTTGCAGGTGAACCAGTGGCTGACCTGGCTGGAAACTGCAGAAGAGGAGGAGTCAGAGGATGAAGATTATTAAGGAACAGGCCAAAGCCATGTGCTTCAGGATGCAATGAAATTTTTTT